CCCCAAAACCCCAAAACCCCGCGAATTCAAATTTGATTGATCAATAATTATATATAAATAAACATTTATACTATTATATTAAATAATTGACAATGGAAGAGCAGAAGCAATACAAAAACTAGGCAACATATTAAAATTCTTACAGAGGAGGCTATCAAAATAGCAATGGAAGTAACTATTCAAAAAGATCAAACTACGATAATGAAAATGGAGAAACCTCTCGAGGAGGATACTCAAGTAATAGAGGAAGAGGAAGAGGCTATTACAACAATTATAACAATAGTTATGATAAGAGTGAAAATTATCAAGATAATTATCACAGAGATGGAGGTGCTAATAATAATTATAGAGGTAGAGGTCGCGGTGGCTATTAAAACAGGGATTAGCATCATTAAGATCAGAAATCGTAGAAATCTGAAGTAGCAGTAGTAGAGACACCAAAGTAGCAAGTTGAGTTGATTAAGAAAGGCACTACAATAGTGACTGTTGACTACGAAAAAGCATTTAGTAATATGTTTGCAAAGGCAGAAGTTCCTAAGAAAAAAATGGTTTAGCAAGAATCAAAAGCTGATAAGTAGCCGGTTTAGGAAATGAAAGAACAATTAACTAATGATAATAAATCTGAAGAAGTCAAATAAGAATAGAAAATAGAGGGTACCCAGAAAAAATAGAATGGCATAAAATAAGATGACCAAAAGGTAGTGAATGGAGTATCGAATTCAAATCCTATTGCTAAGCCAGATAATCTTATAGTAAGTGTTTAGGCTATTAACTAGGAAATTATAAAGGCTGATGAAATCAAAGAGCATGTATAATAACCCGAATAAACTTAGAAAGATGATCATCTATTAGATTTAAAGGAAAAAGAAGAGTAATCATAGGATTAATCTACTTGCATTAATAATAAACTAAATTCAGAAATTCAAAATACCGATGGCTAATAAACTGAAAAGCAAACTGAAGATTAGAAGAGTAAAGAGGAAGCAAAACCAAAAGAAAAAGTAGATTTTATCCCTGATCCTAATTTCAGTTGGGACCTAGCTGAAATGGTCATGAAACCTGCTCCTAAAAAGAAGAAAAAGAAGGCTGCTACATCTAATGGAAATTCTCACCATGCTTAAGAAATGGTCCCTATTGTAATAAAGTAGGATCAAAGCAAAGCCATCATTAAGGAAAATATCAAGCTTAAACTTACAGAAAACTTAGAGTTCTCTACCTTAAATATTGACAAGCTTAATAAGGGTTTAAAGAATTCAACAAACTGTTGTTATATGAATGTCGTATTGCAATCACTCTTGTCTATACCAGCATTTTTCAACATGCTAATAGCAATAAGTGATAATCAAGAGGTCATGAAGGAGCTCGGATCTGAATCACTACTTAGAAAATTCGTCTATCTCTCATAATACTTTAACCCCACTTGCTAAATGGACAAAAAGAGTCCATTTGCTGCACCTACTGTTGATGCTGAGAGAATTTTCATAGAACTCAATCAAAACTTCAATCCATATCAAGAGCATTAGGACTGTCATGAATTCCTTGCAATTGTTCTTGATTTTTTGCATGATGAGTTGAAGCTTATATATGTTCCTAATGATGACACTGCTTCAAGTAATTAAGTAGTCGATGAATGGTAGGAAGTAGGCAACAAGAACTCAAGAATGCTTTTTAACAATGACCTTTAAAATATTTAAAGATCTCTAGTTAGAGATATTTTTGGAGGAGTTATTAGGAGTGAATTCTAGATTTCTTAACAGAACAAAGTATCAGTAACTTATGAGCCATTCTTTGTATTAAATTTAGAGATTACAAGATGTGAAGACTTATATTCCTGCCTACACTCGTTTTTCAAAACTTCTAACATAAATGACTATATGCATGAAGGGAAACTTGTTTATGCAACTCATCACTAATAAATTGAAAAGTTGCCAAAGATCCTAATACTGCAGCTAAAGAGATTTGTATTTCACGACAAACCTATTAAAAAGCATGAGATAATTGATTTTCCTTAAGTATTAAAAGTTGAAGACTATTGCTTGTCCACTCATTTGAGACTTGGCATCAATTCTAAAAAATCTGCTGAGGAGAGTGGTAGGCACTACCTATTATCTTCTGTAACAATTCACAGAGGCACTGATGTTTCAAAAGGCCACTACACGTGCTTTGTGCTCGATGCCTCTAATAATTGGGTTCACTATGATGATGCTAAAGTCAAAAAGGTATCTGAAGATTACGTATATGAAAGTCAAGCATATTTATTGTTCTATGAGCTTATTCAATGATTATTACTTTTTATATTTAATTATCTTTAATCTCAATTTCAAGATAAAAATGACTGAAGGGGTTTTGGGGTTTTGGGGTTTTGGGG